GGTCATCGACGTGGTCGCTGCGAGCGCGCATCGCTTTGGCCACATTGACCTCCGCTGCACGGTCGAAGACCCAATTGAGATCGCGACGTGCGAAGCCGCCATCGAGGCCATGCCGTACCACGAATGGTGCTGGTGGGACGCCTAAATGACGCCGCGGCATCCTCTAAATACAGATCACGACTCGATATCGTCGTACCCTGCATCAGACACGCGCGTCTGCGTGTCACCGCCGCCGCTTCGTCGCCCGTTGCCTGCGCGCCCGCCGCCACCCGCATGCGCCCACTAGTAGGTCTAACCATGATGAACGAACCGTCCTTGCTCGAGTGCTGCTACGTCGCATTTGCACGCTTGACTTGATAAGGTTGATGGTTTGGGCGCGCCCACTTTGCCGTTTCGGGCGGATTTTTGAGCCCGCCCGAGAAAGGCCAGATTGCACCCGGATTGCACCAGCGAGACTGCACCATGCGTGAGGATGGTCTCGCAGACGACCTCGTGCAGCGCATCGCCGAGTGCGTCGAGACGTCGGCCGACATGCGCGCGTACGTCCTGGCCATGCCACTTGCCGTGCTTACGTCGCCGCTGGCGGCGCTTCGCCGGCTCTACGAGGCGCTGGACGCACGCGTGCTCACGGTCCTGCCCGGCGACGCCTTTTACCCGCAGCGCATCTCGCTGTGGCCGCAGCTGCGCGTGCCGCAGTCGATTCCGCTCGCACGGCTCCGAGACGATCTCACCGCTGCGCTGCCCCTCTACCCGTGGGTCGTCCAAGAGAGTATCGACATGCCACTGCCATTTGCACTACGCCCTCATACCAAAATCAAGCTGCGCACGTGTGTGACGCCCGCCCAGCTCGGTCGCCTCGAGAACTTGCACAATCTCTGCGCGCTGGACCTGCTCTTGGTGCACACCAGCGACCGCGTGTCGCTCGTCGAGTTGTTCCGCCACCTCCCGGCCGTCCACTGCGTCTCGGTGCTCTGGCGGCAAAAGCCAACGACCGCTGTCGTGGCCGATGCGCTAGAAGCGATTGCGACGTCCGCGTCGGTTCAAAATCTGGTGTGGACCATGTCGCTCACGGCGGGCAAGTGGGACGAGGCATGCCGGGAGCTCTTGGCCGCCTTCTTGTCGTCGTCGCCGCTCACCAGCGTGAGCTTGCGCGGCCTGAACGCTGGGCCCATGGCTGCGACGACGGCGACCGCGGTGGTTGCGAATGCTAGCATCGCTCGCCTCGAGCTGCACGATGCACGTGTCATTTCGACGCTCTTTCAGCTCGCACCCTCCGTGCCGTCACACTGGACGTCATTGCGCCTGCACGGCGTGGCAGCCGACGATCTGCCGCGAATCGCATCGGCCGTGACAGCTTCGAGGATACGACACCTCTCGATCGCACTGAAGCCGGGCAACATCATCGTCGACGAAGACGAGCGGCATGGCTCCGCGATCCTCGCGATGCTCTCGTCCTTACCTTGTCTGCAGTCGCTCGACCTCTCGTCGATGCTGCTGCCAAGCGTTGAAGTCATTGCCGCTGTCCTGCCGCAGCTTGTGCAGCTTGGCTTGTCCGAGAACGACCTCCATGACGACGGCGTCGTGGTCCTCGCAAGAGCTTTGCCGCTGTGCCGCCGACTGCGCTCGCTGCGCCTGCGCCGACAAGGCTGCTCCGATGCCGGCGCCGTTGCTCTCGCATCCACTTTGTCAAAAGCACCGTCGCTTCGGACGCTCGATGTCTCGGGCAACTGCATTGGTTCCAAGGGTGGAGCTCTCCTCGCCGCAGAGATCCCGCAACTGCTGGACGTGGATCTAAGCAACAACCAAATCGGCTACGAGGGCGCATTAGCGCTCAGCCGCATGGTGCCAAAGACAACGCACATGGAAAACATCAACCTCGAAGGCAACCCGCTGTATGTCGACGGCGTCCTGGCCATCGTCGAGGGCGTCGCACGATCGCCGTACCGCGTTGGTAGTGTGCAGCTCAGCCGGACGCTGGCCAATCCGTCGCACATCCAAGAGTGTTTGAACCGCATTGGAGAGCTCCCCGACCCCGCGTGGTGCATATTTCTTGATACGTAAAAATTGAATGGTTGTTTTGGGTTTTGAGGGTTTGATTTTTGAGTTCCAAGAGTTTTGCTCTCAATTATGACATACGAGCAACACGACAGACATCGCGGACACTATTAGTGTCGGTTGACAGCTGGTGGCGTCCACAAAAATGACTCGAGATTCCGAGAAATGCAAAATGTGCGAACGATTTGCAGGAGACCTGCGAGTCGCCGGTCTCCTGGTGACGTTTGCCCAGCAAAAAGGATTGAACCGTTTGAAAGCGCATGATTCGCCAAAAATCGATAAATTGAGCCAATCAAAACGTCACATAGGTCATTCCTCTCCCCACAACCCCCTTTGTCGATTTACGATCATGGTACATGAAACATTTACTGAGTATTTATGTACAAAAGTACTAGTACATTGTATGATCAAATTGCTGTCCAAACCGAATTTCGTGATGTCGCCCACAGTTCGCCGAGTACGTGTGATCTTTAATTGGTCCAAAATACATATATCTTTTGGACCAATCAAAGTGCGAAGATGCGAGGTGTGTCGTCCAGCTGCTGAGCGCTTTGCGACAGAAGGCTCTGCGGCCACACCCTCCCGCACCACCCGTACGTCTCGCATCCACAACGACCAAGTATCTGCCTCTCTGTTGCCGTGTAAATTACGTCCAAAGCACGTCAACAATACAAATCGCCGGCGTCCAGCAAGTCAAGCCCTACGATACGTTCAAGCCCACGATTCAACGCCCTTGCAACGTCGTTGCAGAGAATGTTACGACGGTAGTCCATGTCAATTCTATCGTCGTTCTTGCTTCTATTCGAAGGTCACTCCGAGTTGAGGACCTCGTAACATCCAATGCACCACGAGCTGCATAACCTAATGACGGCTGGAGCAGCTGGAAGCCATGTATTGCGGTGGTTAAATGGGAAACGAGTGAAGCTAATCGATCCTAACCCATGTTATTGTCGACAGCACTTGCGCTAGAGACAAGGTAGTCTACTAAACCGCTACCAGCATTACGAGGCTTGGACCGTCGTCAGCTCCCAACCGCTGAAACGCATCATCTCCATAGCACTTCCCACCCATGCTTTCCACCCATGGACACGTAGACTTCAACTCCAATTGCTTCTTGAATGGATCCCTTCAATGATAGGATTCTGCCATGGCCAAGGTACATATCGTAGCTCGCGTGCCGACGCGACCTGTCAATCGATTCGATTGGCCCGACGGCATCGGTCGCTGACGTAGGGACTGCCACGTCATGGAAGGGTTTGGACCAATCAATGGCCGATGGCTATCCGGATATCGCTAAAATCACGCAACCTCGGCCATGGCGAAGCGAGCCAAGCCGACGCCGGCGCTGCTGCCCGAGCTCTTTGAGCAAGTCGGCCGGTTCATCATGACGTCCACGGAGATGGCGGCCTTTCTCGAGGCGCTGCCGGTAGAGTGGCTCTCGGAGCCGCTGGCCGCGCTGCTCGAGCTCTTCCGTGCGGTGCGCTCTCGGCGGCTCATGGTGCCGGCTGGCGACGTTTTTCACCCGTGCCACGTGCGCCTCTGGCCATACTTTGAGCTCCCGTACGAGGTCACGGACCCGCAGCTGCGCGGCTGGATCGCCAAGGCCATGGTTTTAAGCCCGGTTGTCGACATCAACGGCTTTGACCTGCCGCCGTCGTACCCACTGCAACCCCGGACGCGCATCAACCTGCACGCTGTCTCGACGTGGGAGATGCTCCAGCGCGCAATTGAGCTGTGGCCCGAGCGCATCGAGTGCATTGAGATTTCGTTCGGCGACGACGTCAACAATCAGTGGCCGGCCGCGTCCGTTGGAGCGATGCGCGAGGCTCTGCGCACGCTCCCGGCGCTGCGAGAAGTCGCGTTCACATCGCACAGCAACGTGATCAACCGCGATCCGCTGCCGCTCATCCAAGCGCTGGCACCGACGTCCATTATCTGCGCCGAGCTCATTTACCCCCACGTCACGTGGTCGACGGCCACGGTGACGGCGATGGCCAACTGGCTTCGCACCGGGTCGCTTAAGGTCGTCGTGCTCGAAGGGGCTTGCATGACAGACGCCGATGGCACTACGCTGTGCAAGGCCATTGCTGACTCGTCGACTCTGCTCGACCTCGAGATCAAGGGCGGGTCGCTGCCGTTTCGATTCTTCAAGGACATACCGGCGCTACCGAGCCAGCTGCACTCGCTCGTCCTCGAGTTGCTCGTGCACGACGACCTGCCGGCGATCACGTCGGTGCTCTCGTCGTCCCAGCTTCAGCTGGTCACGCTCGGCTTTGAAACCGTGTCGCCAAACCCGGCCCCGGCCGCGACGCTGGCCATGATCCAAGCGCTGGGGCGACTGCGCCGGCTCCGGCGCCTCGAACTCACCATGATCGAGCTCTCGCCGGCGTGTGTGGCGAGCTTGGCGTTGCTGCTTCCGCAGATGACCAACTTCTACTTGGAGGCGAGTGGCCTCGGCGACGATGAGATTGGGCTCTTGGCGGCCGTCCTTCCCCGGTGCCCGTCGCTCGGGTATCTGCATTTGATCGACCAAGCGTGCACATACGTCGGCGCCATGGCCCTTGCCGCGGCGGTTCCCTTGTGCCCGCCGCTGCGCAAGATCGACTTGCGCGGCAACCGCATCGGGTCCATCGGGGCACATGCGCTCAGCAGCGTCCTGCCGCATCTGCTCGAGTGCGACCTCTCGGAAAACAAAATCGGCTTTGACGGTGCGCTCGCCATCAGCCGCGTCGTGCCTGCGACGTGCCACATGGAGATGCTCGGGCTCCAGGGCAACCCGCTCGAGAAGGAAGGCTTGCTGGCCATCATCCACGCGCTCGAGCATTGCGTGCACCGCGATGGCGTCATCAAAGTCTCCGACACCCTCGCCTTGGACGAAGACCGTCAAGAGTGTGACGAGGCCGTCGACCGACTACCAGACGCGGCGTGGATCACGTTTCGTGAAGACGAGCCGTTTGACGGATAAGAACTGAGATGCCGCTTATATATACCCGAGCACGCGTTGACTTGCGTCGAGGTGGCAACTGAGCACGTGGGCAGCGTCCTGTGAGAAGCACAGTCGCGTCGTCGTCGTAGCGGGATGGAGGAAATCTGGACGGAGTGCCACGCAGCGTTCTTCGAGACGCTGGTTCCACCGACCGCAATCGAGCTCCAGTTCGTAGTCTCGTCGCTCATAACACCGGGTGTCAAGCTCGTGACACGGCGCAGGAGCACGGCGATCGCCTACGCACGGTGCGTCACACCTGGACGTTGCAACTTGCCGAGCTCCGACAACCCCTTTCCCAAGAACATATATGGCTGTATATTAGAGCCAAGTCTTTTTAGCAACGGCCGGTGCCCTCGTCGTCGCGCTGCCCCCTGTCCGATGGTAGCGCACGCAGTAGTGCCTGGAAGCTCACAGGCGCTGGTGAAGCATGAAAGCGCAGTGGCCAACGGGCGGCCAAACCCAATTGATGGCTTTGGACTAGGTACGGGCAAGGGGTATCGAACGCTATGCAAACTTCAAGATATTCCAACGTTCCGGTGACACGGAATAACAACGCCGACGATCTCACTTTGCCTTTTGCAGGTCGGCTCCCACTCAGCGCTGTGCTCGTGCGACATCAACCTCGCGCTGCACCGCGGAATGCAAGCAAGGAACCTGCGCGCTTCATGCTACCCACGTTGGAGCCCTCTCCTCGAAAGGTGCAGCTCGGCCAGTTTGAAGGTTGCACGTTGCGTGCTTGCAGTCCGTGTTGCAGCACGAGTTTGGTACGTGTACCTACCTACTATCTCTCGTGTTGCTCTGCTCAACTCACTTATGGTTGTAGGCGTCTTTCAGCGAACACAGTGAGTGCTCTGTCACCTCGGCGTTGGCGTGGACTGGCTGCCTAGCATGGCGTTGAGGTCGTATCAGTCCTCGGTTCGTACTACACATCTTCAGCTTCCATCTCCCTGCTGACCAATACATAGAAGACTCGGGTTTTTCTATCAACACGTATCAAGGAGTGTGCGGCGAATCATCGGGCTTTAACGCGGAGGTGATATTCTATCAAGTGGGTATTGCTACGCTAAAGGCGATAAAGTGCGGCACGACATAATAAAACGTCAATAAACGTATATAACGCATTTGGCCTTTCGCCAGCAAGTCCATTGCATTTGAAAACTTGCTCACGATGCACCACGTCACCGCCATGGCCAAGCGACGCAAGACGACGGCGCGCTCGACGCTTCCGAACGAGACGCTGCAACTCATCGCCGAGTGCATTCGCGACACGAAGGACATGGCTGCCTTGCTCGGTGCGCTGCCCGAGTCGCACAAGTCGGCTCCTCTGCGAGCCCTCGGCGTCCTCTTGAACGCAGTGCGCGACCGCCGCATTCCCCAGCTCGATACAATCGGGTCGCGGATGTCGGAGCTGTCGTCTCGGCTGCTCACGCCCGATTGCATTACCAAGGACGACGACCTTCGCCGCGCGATTGCTACGTACGCGTCGATGGTGCCGCGCATTCCGGTTCGTGCTGACACCGCGCCGTGGTTCTGCGTCCCGCCGCGAGCGCGGCTCGAGGTTGCCACTGTCCAGACGCGCGACGAGCTTGCGTACGTGATGACACACTGGTCGGACCAAGCCGCGTCGTTGCGCGTCGAGCTGGGCAAGCTCGTTGTCGACGACGTCTGCCGCGCTCTGCGCGCACTCCCACAGCTGCGCTGCCTCCACCTCACATGGCCGGCGTCGGCGTCGGCGGCGCAGCACTTGACGCTTTTTCTGGCCTCATGGGCTCCAACGTCGAGAATCTGCATTTGTACTATGACGAGATGAGCTCGGCCCCTTGGAACAAGGCCGTCGTGAACGCCTTTCTTGCGTGGACAACGCGTGCGGCCGTCAAGGCGCTGTCGTTTGTCCATCTTTGTGTGGCGACCACCGATGCACCTGCGCTTGCTGTCGCCCTCCTGGGCTTGAAGTCCCTCCAATCGCTCCGCGTCGAGTTTGGTGATTTTCCCCGCGCACTCTTTGCGACGGGCCAGCAACTTCCAGTGCGATTGACGACGCTGACAACGTACTTGGATACAGAGTGCAGCGTCGACGGGTTTCTGCAGACGATCGGCGGCTCCAACTTGCGTCACCTCGAGCTTGGCACCGCGCGCCGGCTCGCGCCGCAGACCACGACGCGGCTTTGCCACGTCATTTCGACATTGACGCGCCTGCGACACCTTGGTATGCGGGGCAGGCTGGACCTCCGACCGTCGGCGATGACGTGGCTCAGCCGGTGTCTACAGCAACTCGTGACGCTGCAGCTTCGGGGCACATCCGTGTGCGATACGGGCGCGACGTTGCTGGCGTTGGTGCTGCCGGCATGCGTGCGATTGGAAGAGCTGTGCTTGTACAACCAGTCGTGCACGCACGTGGCGACCGAAGCCCTCGCCGCCGCGATCCCAGCCTGCGTGACGCTCAAGGTGCTGGATTTGTCCTTCAACCAGCTCGGATCGGACGGCCTCCTCGCGCTGCTGCCTGTCATGCGGTGCCTGGACAGCGTTGCGCTGCGAGGCAGCAACATTGGCGACGACGGAGCCAATGGCCTTTGTCGCATGATGCACGACACGGACCATATGCGAAAACTCAACCTGAGCTGCAACCCGCTCTCGACCTCGGCGGTGCTTTCGGTGATCCATGCGGTGGCCGAGTCCGTGGTTCGCCACGGCGTCGTCGATTTGTGCGGGATTGTCCACGACAAGGACGATTTGCGCGAGTGCTGGGAGTTTGCCCGCGAGACCCTGCCGTACAGTAGCTGGTGCAAACTCAACGCCCTCTATTTCTAATCCAGACTAGGAACAGACTAGTATACTAGTATATTTAACAATCGCTACTTCATACCATGATGGCCATGCACGTATTCATGGTGCCTCAACCTTGGTGACGCAGAGACATACTGTATAGCAACGAAAACAGACATCCATGACCAGGCCGAGGACCATGAGACTAGCGCGTCGGACGGGCCTGGTCGAGCATATTGCGAGAACTCTTGTTTGCGAATGCTGATCTTTTTTGAGCTAGAGAGTTGCGTGGCGTTAGCCGACGAGCGACTACCAATTCGTGCTTGGTGCAAGCTTCTAGTCGCCTAACAATCCAGCCTTGATGATGACGTGCACAACAATGGATACCTAAGATCAAGTGTCCTTGCTAGAGAAACGACGCTTCTCTGCCAGTGCTTGTGATAGTAATCGCCCAAACAGATCCATCGATGTGACGCTGTAGGCGCATAGGCAGGCGACGATATACATCTTCCAGTCAACAAGTGGCAAGTTCTGATATACTATATGGCACCACGACTGGTTTCGGAGGTACAATGCTTTTGGGCGCACCGCTTGCACTTCTCCAGCTCTTCATCGTTCTGGCATGGAGCAGAGGCGGACGGTGCCCCACGAGTCGCACGAGTCATGACCGCTCGGTGGATGCTCATCACTGCGCACTTGGAGTAATCGATTCGCC